GGAAATTTGGATTCAACTTGCAAACTTTTCAACTAGTTCTGGCATCTAATAGAGAATGTATTTCCAAAGGGTGTTCCAGCTAGGAAACTAACTGTGCTTTATGAGCCAGAACACAAACTTGGCTGCTGATCACAAATTAACCCCGCATACATGGGAAAGCAAAATTCAGTCTTTCTTTTAGTTGTTTCCAAGTCCTTATGATTGTGGTATCTCTTTGATGTATCTAAATCAGAACAGGGCCAGGAAGTCTCAGAGACAGGGGATAGTTACAAGGTTAGTGTTCTTGGAACAGAGTTCTTGCCTGTAGTACATACTACATTTGCTGATACAGTAGTTTGAAAATTAAGAAAGTCAAAATTCTTAGTGACTTCTAACTGGATTACAGTACCTGCTTCCTGATTTCAGCTACTATAGTTTGTATTCAGTTTTTTTGGCTCGCCAAGAACATTGTTCCTGGCTTTGTCTTGAATAATCTGTTGTGCCTTGCCTGCTATAAACGTTCAATTATGTCAGAAAACCGAGATTTGGTCTTATGCTGAGCATGTGCTACTGCTGGTGAATGGGATCAGATTAAGCTTTGTGTTGCTGTTCTTTTGCATAACCTAAAGTAAATAAGGAAAACCAGCTGTTAAATAGTGTAATTCCACTATTTATCCTCCACAAAACTAAAAGGGACCTCTCAATGCAGTGCCAAATCAGACAAACCATTTCTAACTTAATATAGGCTTGAGCTGTAGCTGGGCAGAGTTGCACAACAATCTCATCTGTCATTGAGACATTTCCATAAGCATGGGGAGGAGGTGGATGAAAGGAAATGTAAAATATAGGCAGTGTGGTATAAGTCTTATCACTGGCTGATAATGTCTATATGTACTTGACTTAAATTTATGGTACACAAATTTATGGTACATAAACTAGAGTACACAAACATTTAAGTCTCTCCATTTATCCATTTATTTATTTATTTTATATCCCGCCTATCTGGTCAGATGAGGACCACTCTAGGCAGCTAACAACATTTGTTTATGACAGTGGTAATGGTTTTTAATGCCACTGTTGACTGCTGTTCACTTTACATGGTTCAAATGCTATTTTATTATAGTTTATTAAATATTTGATTACACTATTCGGTTCGGAATATTTTTTCCTGTGTTTCTCCTCTAAAAATTAGGTGCATCTTAAGGTCAGGTGCGTCTTATGGAGCAAAAAAACAGTATATTACAATAGTCACTGCAAAGAAATAAAGGAGGACAACAAACAAGGCGAAAACAGATCACTTTCATAAGATTTTTTAAAAATCAAAGGGAAATTCAAAGCAAGATTAGTGATGCTGAAAGATCAAAGGGGAACATACTATGTGATAAAGATATAATAAAGAGAAGATGGGAACAATATACTGAAGATTAGAACTAAGCAGAAGATATGGAAGGATAATAGGTTCCCTTGAACAAGAAGCCTGTGATAAAGAATCTACAATTTTAGAAAGTAACATGATAACTAGTCTCAAAATATGCTGAAGAAATAAATCATGTGAAGTAGATGGGTGCCAACAGAACCACTTCAAGCTATAGAGACTGGATCTATAAAAGCCCTAACAAGTTGTTGTTTTGTTGTTGTTAAGTTGTTAAGTCATGTCCAACTCTTCATGACCCCGTGGACCAGAGCATGCCATGCCCTCCTATCTTCCACTGCCTCCCAGAGTTGGGTCAAATTCATGTTGGTAGTTTCGATGACACTGTCCAACCGTCTCATCATCTGTCGTCCCCTTCTCCTCTTGTCTTCACACTTTCCTAACATCAGGGTCTTTTCCAGGGGGTCTTCTCTTCTCATGAAATGGCCAAAGTATTGGAGCCTCAGCTTCAGGATCTGTCCTTTCAGTGAGCACTCATGGTTAATTTCTTTCAAAATGGATAAGCTGTTCTCTTTGCAAGTCCATCCTGTCCCACATATAGATTTCTCAGGAGACGGATAAGGTGGTCAGGCACTCCCATTTCTTTAAGAACTTGCCATAGTTTGCTGTGGTCCACACAGTCAAAGGATTTTGCATAGTCAGTGAAGCAGATGTTTTTCTGGAACTCTCTGGCTCTCTCCATAATCCAGTGCATGTTAGCAATTTGGTCTCTAGTTCCTCTGCCCCTTCGAAATCCTGCTTGTACTTCTGAGAGTTCCCGGTCCACATACTGCTGAAGCCTGCCTTGTAGGATTTTGAGCATAACCTTGCTAGCATGTGAAATGAGTGCAATTCTACGATAGTTGGAGCATTCTTTGGCACTGCCCTTCTTTGGGATTGGGATGTAAACTGATCTTTTCCAGTCCTCTGGCCACTGCTGAGTTTTCCAAACTTGCTGGCATATTGAGTGCAGCACCTTAACAGCGTCATCTTTTAAGATTTTAAATAGTTCAACTGTAATGCCATCACCTCCAATGGCTTTGTTGTTAACCATGTAATCTAAGGCCCACTTGACTTCACTCTCCAGTGAACAAGTACATACCATCAAAAATGGAAAACAAAACAATCGAGCACAGGCTAGAAGCATTCAATATACAGTATATTTCAGTCTCCATGAAAGGAGGCCAAGAGTGCAACAATTATTAGGCAAAGTAATGCTCAAAATTTTACAGAGACATATATGGAGTGAGAGATACCAGGTGTTCAGACTGGGCTCTAAAAAGTGAGAGGCGGTCCAGGACTGGAACAGAATATGAAAGAGGATTATGCTTGTTTGCTTACTTAATTGTATTTGTTGCATTGTATTTCTTCAGTTAATGGGGCAGAAAGGCACAAAAAGGCTTATGCTTGTTTGCTTACTTAATTGTATTTCTTGCATTGTATTTATTCAGTTAATGGGGCAGAAAGGCACAAAACATACCAAAGAGACCAACCTTATGAACAGTGAAAAAAAAAATGAAAAAGGCAAAAGTGCTACAAAAATAAAAAGGTTTCTGCTGGTTTAGGGGAAGTAAAAGTACAAATTCATGGATGGGCGGCTAATCACTTAAATTTTACTCCTAACATGGATGTAACCTATCCCACTCTAATCTCACAGGAGAGACTCAGCACAAGCAATGCCAATAGCAGTCTCTAGCAGATTAACACCTTTCCCTCATCCTGCCCAAATTATGACTGCTGATCCCACTGGGAAAAAAACAATAATTTTAGGAAAAGAGAAAAGCCTTACATAAGATGGACTGACTTGGCAAAGGAATACATAGATTTTAGTTTGCAAGACTTGAGTAGGATTTTTTGAGGTCATTGATTCATAAGATGTGCATAAATTGAAGACTTCCTCTCCAAAAACACCTGTTGAAACTGTATGTCTATGTAGGGTTTCTTAATATTATATACAAATTACATTTGCTAGGATTTTTCAGGGGAAGACTAGCATTTAAGTAAGTATGTGACCAATATGTTTGTACTTCAAAATATGGCCCATTTTCAATTGCTTTTCACTCTAATCAGGCAGGAAAAAATATAACTTTTTTGAGATGAGATGGAAAGGGTGTGATAGGTGATTTTTCAAAGAGAGTAGCTGTGTTAATCTGTTGCAGCAAAAGTAGCACACAGTCTTGTTGAAACCTGAAGACTAGCAAGTTTAATTTGACAAATAATATATCTTAAGAATGTTTGAAGTAAACTGGAGTCCACAAAAACTTATATCAAAGAAAACTTGTTACTATTTGAGATGGGGCAAGTCCCTTGTTTTCACTGTGAGAGAATAGCCAGTGAAACTTAAGATTTTTGTAACCTTCTCACATATATAAAAGGAAATTACTATCATTGACTGAATCTGATAAAGTTATAATGAATATTTTTCTAGCCAAATAAGAAAATATTTATGAAATATTTACCTTATCACCTTAGTTGAAAACATACAATGTCATATAAATAATTATTAGACATAATTAAATAATATCTTCAGACAATATGCAGCTTTTAAGTATTTCAGTAACTTGAAATATTGTATCACAGAACTACTATTCAGTGTATAGCTATATTGCTGGTATACCTGCAGCAGTATGTTTACCAAAGCAATCCAATACATGTCTAATTTAGAAGTAAGCCCCTTTACGTTTAATGGAAATTACTTCCAGATAAATGTGTTTTACAGTTGCAGCCTAACTATTGTTATCTGCTGGTTGTAAGAGTTCCAAACATGTAAGAAGTCAGTCCTTTCAGAAAAAACAAAATCCTGAGGTATTTTAAAGACTATCAATGTTATTTGGCATAATCTTTCATAGACTGTAGTCTGTCAACTGCATTTTTCATGTATCTGATGACGTGAGCTGCAGACCACAAAAACTTGTGAAAAATAAAACCCGTTAGTACATAGCAATACTCTTTTGTTGTTGTTTTGCTGCAACAACCTACTACAACTACCCCATGGAAATTTTTGCACTTTTAGAAAACAGCAGCTTCAAAGAACATTGTCCAACTCACCACATAAATGCATCCTTAAACTGGGACAGACTGCTTTCATTATCTCATAACTGAGAGCCAAAACACCCATTCAGAGAAATGCCTTTCCTCCTCTTAGAACAATCCCCCCCAGCAACATGAGCTTCTTTATCATGTGACTCTGGGATAAGATATGCAAAAAGAGGTGCTGTTTACCCTACAGAGCTAATCCCAACCACTCTGAGTGCTTCCTTTTTAACATGTGTTCACAATTACATCTTCTTTGCCAGATGTGAAGAGGGAGGACTCTTTATAGAAACTTTTTTCAATGTACGAATAACTCCGATTGCAGTGACAACAACTCTACCTTTCAAAACTAACAGGGAGGTTTTGCTATAATGACACAAACATAAAAGGCCTAATTCTGTTCCCCTCCATTTCCATTTTATGTCACATCTGTCATTGCAGTACATGTTCTCACTGCAACACCTGTGCTAATTTCCATAGTTCTCATACATATGTTTATGTTGGGAATTCCATTCACAACCAATGGCAGAAGAATGCTACAGTTATGTAAGGTAAACAAAAGATGGCTATAACTAACCTGCCTCGGAAATGTTGAATACTGATGACTGGCCACTAGGCATGGATCCTACTGAAGCCTGCTGTGATCCAGAAGTTAATTTTGAGTTACTTACTCCAGCTACACCCTCAGAGCCTTGGTTGCTAGCATCAGAAAAACTGAAATCTGTTGAGGTCTCATTATCATTAATGTTATCTGAAGTGCCTTGACCAGAACCACTTTCTTCATCATTTGTAAAAACTGCCCATGATTTAGATTTTGGTGCCTTTTGCAGTGAACCACTAACAGTCTGAATCTGATTATGCCACAGAGCTGGTTCACTGTGTTTCTCAATCTTCATGTTTGAAGCCACAGGCGGGACTGTTGCATGTTTCATTTGGTCCATCTCATTGGTTACCATGTGATCTGATAAAGCAGTTACAGTTTTCTTCTCTTCTTTTTCTTCAGATGTTTCAAAATGTGAATTTACAATTAGGTTGTCGTGATCTTTTACACTGTTTGCCTCTGTTTTGGGCCCATCTACCTCCTCCTGAGTTCTTCTATGGGACATGCATGTGTGACAACCATTTATAGGTAGGCCACTATCATATTCATCATAATCATCATAAACAATAGAGGACCACACATCAGTATTAGAACCAGCAGTGGTGGATAATTTGGTAATTACTTTACTAGGAGCTAATAATGTTTTTAAAGTTTTACCACCTTCAGTGTTGGAAGAATCAGCTGTAACAGAAATATACACATCTGGTATGTTTGTAAAAGGATGCTGAATAGAATCAGAAATTATTTCAGGGACAGAAACTGTAATATCAACAATATCAGTATGTGAAGAAACAGTTAGCTCATCCTTCTGAGGAACATTAGAAAGACTATGGTTATGAACAGATGTAATAGTATTTGATAATGTATCAGTTGACAAAAGAGCTGCAGTCACTGTGTTCCCTGCTTTGAAGGGAATATCATTTGTATTTTCTACACTGGATGACTGTAATGATGTGTCTTCATTGTAGGACAACCTGGGTGAAATGTATTCATCATTTATATAGGCAACAGTTAAACCTTCTAGCAAAACTGTGGAGTTACTGGCAGTATGTGATGTAATTACAGCAGATGGTGCTGGTGCAGAATGCAACATTGTTTTATTTGCTGCAGAATCTGATGCCATTCGATTCAATATTTGGTCAGATATAGAACTACCATTACTAGGCTTTGTAGTCTTCCTTACCAATACCAGATCACTAGGTGCAGTTACAGAGGTTTTAAGTTGTGTGCCACCACCAGAGGACTGAAAGGACGTTTGCAGCAATGCATTATTGCTAAATATAGCTGAAGCCTCGTAAAAATTCTGTTGAGGAGAGGATGCCAATATTTCACTAGAAGCAGGGGTAAAAGAAGCTGGCTGTGAGATGGCAGTGAGCAGGGGCTTAGGCAACGAGTCATCAAAGGCTGGCGTTGTATCATGCAAAGGCTGGATTGGAACATGATTTTCTGTGAGGCTACTAACATCATAATCAAACACCTTAGCAACAGGAAAAGCAATAGATACTGGAAGGGTTCCCTTTGCACTAGAAACAGTAATCAGGATTTCTTGTAAGGTTGCATCATGTTTAGCAATCTCATCATTAGAAATTGCTGTTGTAAACTCAGTCATTTCACTTTCAGCAGGAGAAGCCATTTCACTGAAAGAAGAAATTTGCAGTTCTTTGTCATATGCATATATGACACCATTTTTGCGAGGCATCTCCACATCATCACTATATCCAGGTGTGCTGGATATCAGTTCACCTGAAGAGTCATGTGAAGAAGTTTTAAGCATTGACAAAATAGCTGTGTCAGGCAAAAGGGACTCACCACCAGAATAGACTTCAGACTGATCCATTGCACTAGAAAGAGAGCAGGTAGGCTGCAGCAAAATGTCAGCTTGCGAGACTGCAGTAGAAGGCTTAGGCACAAGCACATTGCTAGAGCTGCTAGGTAACAGAGCCTGATGAAACGTGCCAACAGACTCATGCACAAATTCTGAAGTATAATAGGAAGCAGCAACAGTTTGAAGAGAGCCCACATTACTAGATAAAGCATGAGTAAGTTCAGACACTGTAGACAGTACATGCATATTTAAATCACTGCTGGATGGTTCAACTTCAGACAACAAGTGAGTTCTATCATGACCAAATATCAATGTCTCTGGAGCAGCATAGACTGTCTGATGTGATGTCACATCAGAAAACTGAGCAAGGCTTGATTGCATCAATACGCCTCCCTCTGCCAATGTCAAAGGAGCATGCAGGGACACCTTATCACTCTCAACAGCTGGAGTAGCTTGAGTAAATGTTTGAGAAACTGTATACAGATGGTGAAACATTGCACTACTGGAGGAAGCAGAGGAAAATGGAAGCAAAGGTACACCACCATAGGAAGACAGGGTGGAGTCAAATGACACATCAACACTGGGAAATACAGGTGTGGCATGCAAGGTCACATCACTACTTGATGCAGCAGGGAAAGTGTTGAGCATCTGGGCGCCAGACAATAAAGGGGTGACTAGAGGAAACACTTCACTACGGTGGGAAGGTTGAAGTGGTATCTCACCATTATACACTGGCTGAGTTGTCTGAGAGAGGCCCCCACTGGCAGCAGCAGAAGCAGAGCCACGTTCTTCAGCATTTGCAGAGACAGAGTAAGATGACAACTCGGGAGGGGAGAAAGCAAAGGTGGAAGAATGTGGCAATTCTATATCCACAAATGAAGTATCCTGTGACACCAGTGGATCAATGGGATAGACCACTGTTGCACGGTTTGGGGAACTAATGTGAAAAAGCTCTTTACTATCCAATGGAATGGCAGTAATACTTGTGCCATGATGGTGCCATAAATCCCCATTTTCTGCAGGTGTTTTCTCTGCAGAATCTTCAGCTCTTGGAGGTGCTATATCTTCTGACACAACTTCAATATAGTCTTGAGAGAGGTCATCAGGCATGCTTGTTTCTGGGCTTCCTGAACTAAAGATGTGTTCCTGGGCTGTCTCAATTGTAACTAACCACGTTGAAGAGGTGGTAGATATGGAACCCCAAGAGTCATCGATGTCTAGGTCTGGCTTAAAGGCGGATACCTCTATATCATCTTCAATACTATCAGATGCTCTTGTCTCATTGTAAGAAAATGTATGTGCATACTCTTCCTCATTACCTTTGGTGGAGCTGCTCGTTAGAGGAACAATTGTAGCTGTTGCTTGAGATCCCATAGAATCATTCTCTTCCTCCTTTGGTACTTCTGTAACAGGCTGAGGAGTTGGATGCAAAATTACTTGGGAAGGATCATTTTTCCCTTGGAAGTCTTCCTCTTTCTCTGGATGTCTGTGTGTTCCTGCTTCACTGAACCTTGTCTCCATTCCCTCTTGACTGTAGCTAGATGTAGTAAACTGGAACTCCTGTTTCCTTATTTGATTTCTCAAACTCTCTGTGCTGGTAAGGACTGCAGCTTCTTCTCCCACCCCTGTCCTTGACTCGTCAATTTCATCTTCTTCCTTTGAAAACAACAATACAGAGACATAAACAAGACACAATCAATACACTTTCAAATGGTATCTGAATAAAGGAAGATATATTATGCTGAAACACCACAGAAAAGGATCCTTACAATGCAGGATTAATATATTCAGGAAGGAACATAAAACTGTGAAAATATGCATAAGCAAAAGCAAATCTTTTCGTCATAAGCTAATTTCCCCAATTAGCTAAGCCTCCGAAAATTTGTACTCCTGTTCTGTATAAAGGCAGCAGCTATGATGATTGCTTCTAATCCTAGTAACATTATTTTATCATCTCTTCCATGTCTATATGCATGACATTCTGACCTTGCCCACCCTCTGTCCATGAATGTTGAGTTCTCTGCACCTTTTCATGATATTTTATTACACTGATCAGAAATATTTCTCTCTCCCTCCCTTTTTTATTTTATTTTGCTATTTTCAAATGCTGAATGACAGCCAGTGTGGTACAGCAGATAGAATGCTGGAGCAGGACTCAGAAAAACTGGATTCAAATCTCCATTCAGCCTTGGGAATTTTGGGGGTTGGAAATGGTAAAGAAATCGTGAGAGATGATTTGATAGTATATAACATGTAAAATACATGCTGATTCCCAAGTGTTGCAGGCCTGGCTAAAGTTTATAACCTGGAAGTGGCATTAAGGTGAAGCTTGATCAAATACAAGGGGATATTCTGGTCTATCAGCTTGGCAGCTACTTATCATTTAGTGCTAGGTAGTATTAGTAAATAGGTCTGAGAAGAGAATGATGGCAGAGTTATAATTAGGGTACGGCAACTGGGGTTTTGTCCCAAAGCTACAAATTTAGAGAGCATGCTGTTGTCCCAAGACTTCCAAGATTGGTCTGGCAGCCCTGTCTATCACTATAGAAAAAAGATAGTGACAGATCAGGGTTCGAGGGCACATGCTGACTTAGGGGCAGATAGACCAGCTAGTAGACCAGGCTGCTGGAGAGAGCAGAGGCAAAGTGGTCTCTGAGAAAGCAGACAACACGTTCTATCCAAGGCTTGCTAATGGCTATTCCTTGGTAGGGATTAGAAAATAAGAATGTGTGATGTGAACATACCTCTCCTAGAAACTGTAGCTAATAAAGCACGGCAGATTAAGGAACATTTCAAGAGAAGAAAACACAGTACTGCAACTATGCATTCTCTTGAATGTTTAATTCCAGCAAGCTGCTTCAGTTCTCTTATACTCAGTATGAATCCAACTATGACAGGAAGCTATTTTAAGTTAGAAATCATATTTTTTTATGTATGAGTTGTGTTTTTTTAAAACAATGATGCAGACCAAGCTGATTTTATTACCTTGACATCTGGATACAGGGGCCCAAATTCAACTGTTAGCCCCAACTAGAGTATGAAGACTTACAACACCTCCTAGAACTGACACCAAAGAAAGATGTTCTTCTCATTATAGGGGACTGGAATGCTAAAGTAGGGAGTCAAGAGATAAAAGGAACAACAGGGAAGTTTGGCCTTAGTGTTCAAAATGAAGCAGGGCAAAGGCTAATAGAGTTTTGTCAAGAGAACGAGCTGGTCATCACAAACCCTCTTTTCCAACACAAGAGGTGACTCTACACATGGACAACACCAGATGGGCAATACCGAAATCAGACTGATTATATTCTCTGCAGCCGAAGATGGAGAAGCTCTATACAGTCAGCAAAAACAAGGCCTGGAGCTGATTGTGGCTCTGAACATCAGCTTCTCATAGTAAAATTCAAGCTTAAACTGAAAAGAGTAGGAAAAACTAGTGGGCCAGTGGAGGTGATGGCATTCTAGTGAAACTATTTAAAATCTTAAAAGATGACGCTGTTAAGGTGCTACATTCAATATGCCAGCAAGTTTGGAAAACTCAGCAGTGGCCAGAGGACTGGAAAAGATCAGTCTACATCCCATTCCCAAAGAAGGGCTGTGCCAAAGAATGCTACAACTACCGTACAATTGCACTCATTTCACACGTTAGCAAAGTTATGCTCAAAATTCTACAAGGCAGGCTTCAGCAGTATGTGGACCGAGATCTCTGAGAAGTACAAGCTGGATTTCAAAGGGGCAAAGGAACTAGAGACCAAATTGCTAACATGTTCTGGATTATGGAGAAAGCCAGAGAGTTCCAGAAAAACATCTACAGTGGTGCCTCGCTTAATGAGCGCTTCGTTTAACAATGAATTTGCTTAGCGAAGACTTTTTCAGAGCATTTTTGCGCTCCGTTTAACGATGTTTCCTATGGGCAATTTTCGCTTAGCGATTTCTGGACCATGCTTAGCATAACGATTATGTTTTTGGGTCCCCTGTTTCACTTAACGATAGTTTAAACAGCCTCATGTTTGCTGTTTTTTAAATGTTATAAAGTTAAAGTTTACTGTGCCAATCAAAATTAAAACTGAGTAGTTACCTTTTCAAAGTTTGACACTGCAATTTGTTTGTCAGCAGGTAGATGTTCAGGTCAGCGCAGTGACTGACTGTCAGCAGGAATTCCAACAAGACAAGTAATTTCATTCAGTGTATTAGTGACAGATTGCTCACTTCTTCGAATCACTAGAGAAAATAAACGTAATATTGTTACAGGCAGGGTTTCTGTCTTCATTAGCCTCATAGAATCATTCTAGCTAGCGCTCAAAAGACTACCAAGCTCTAGGTGAGCTTATTTTTCTTGTAGTTTTTCGTTACTTCGCCCTCTTTTTTTAAAAGCTAAATGCTTCTGCTTATCAGAAGCATCGATTTTTTTTCAAGGTTACTGTTGTAAGAGACAATGCACTTCAAGAGATCCACAAACTTGAAACACAAGTGTCAAGAGGTTCTTGCGAAGACTTAGGCAGTCCCGAAAATGGTGCAGAAATTGAAAGAGATGATTCGTTCAAAACATTAACAGCTTTATTTATACAGTGGTGCCTTGCTTAACGAGCACTTCTTTTACGATGAATTCGCTTAGTGATGACTTTTTCGGAGCATTTTTGCACTTCGTTTAATGATGGTCCCTATGGGCGATTTTCGCTTAGCGATGTTGGGACCATGCTTC